TTGTAACTATTATGCAATAATTAACCCACAATTAATACATATTTTCATCATAGGTTAATACTAAGTGTACAGAAAAGTTAATACCAAAAACAGAAAACACAAGTACTAAGCAGATGGAAGAGTTCAAACTTTCTGAAATGAATCTTGGGACTCAAAAAGTATTGGAACCGCAAGGACAACTGTAACTGTTTGGGGTTCCCTACGTCTGACCTGTGGGATATTTGTTACGACAGGAAGGGTAGACAGCAGTAGCCTTTAATTGTGTTAGATTTAATAGATACTCGACAGGCGCTTGTTTTATGAAAAGGAAGAAATGGGTTGTAAGGGGAAGGAAACGTCTTTGAAAGAGAGAAACATCATCAGGTTGCATAATCAATGCAAATCGTTGCGGAAAATTAGTCAGATTTTAAACACACCAAGCAATACCATTCTGGGAGTCATTGATAAATGTCGTATAAGGAAAACGTTGGAAAACTTGATACGACTTGGACGTCCAAAGAAACTTTGTCAAGCAGAAGGTCGTGCAATTTTACGGAAAGTGAAGGAAAATTCGCGAGAAAGTATACCAAAATTAGCGAGTGAACTTGAAATTAATTGCAAATAAATGTATGTGAGAGTACAGTGCGAAATTTTTTGAGGCTATTGTGAAAGATCAGCCAGAAGAAAATATGATATGAATGAAGTCAAGAGAAAGAAAAAGCCCGAGTTCGCAAAAAAAAAAAAAAAAAAAAAAGTAAATGAAGCAAATGTTTTGGCAAAGTGTTATTTTTACCGACGAAATCAAATGCAACATATTTTCTTCTAATGGAAGACGGATGATTTTGTTTACTTCTCGTTACTGGTAATCCAATTAAAGCTTTTATTTGTAGAAATCCTTAGGTTTCGAATTATTTTTACACTCACTGTACATTCCTTCCTGAAGGACCTTGAACAAGAACCCAAAACTATTGCTGATTTGCCTCTGAAAATATTTAATTATATCGGAGCAAATAGTTCGTAAATACGTCTTGTCAAAATGATATTTTATTTCTGTATTCAGAATCCATCTTCTATATGGATATGGATAGTGGTCCCAGAATTAAGAAACTGCACAGAATAAACTCCCTGTAGCACGTCACTCACAAATTTTAATACTTTTTCACGTGAAAAATGCACTAAAGTATAAAAAATACTGTAATATAAATATTAACGATGCCCGAGATATTTAAAACCCAAAGACTATAAAATCGTCGCTTATGTCATGATTTAGAGCATCGTGCTCTATCCGAACAAAAAAGTTTTCATACACGAGGTAGCGAGTTTCGAAGAAAATCTAGGTGCCCCATTCCGCAAAAAAGTACGCGTAAAAATGTACATGACCTATTCCTGTGTTCTTTTTTAAAAAGGACAGTCTAAAATAATGGAATTTGAGGAAGAACACCAAGTATTCCTATTATCCAAATTTCAAAACATTCAAGGGTTCCAACCAGAATTGGACCGGAGTTATTTTTTAGCATTCATAGAAAAAAAATATTAAGATCATAGGATTTGGTTGGAATCAATTAAATTTTGTGTTTGTCAACGTTTCGGACTATTTTCATTCCATTGAAAACAGTCATTCAACAAATAATGAAAACATTTGAAGCCACAACGACAGGACCGACACCCGTCGCCACGACGACGACGACGACAGAATCGACACCCGTCGCCACGACGACGACGACAGAATCGACACCCGTCGCCACGACGACGACGACGACGACGACGACGAGTGCCCTCTCCTTTACCACTGACTACGACAGCGGCCATTCTTCCTTGGCACTTGTGTCTAGAACGCGACTTCTTCGGGACATCTAAGAAACTTCTGACTCGGTTCTACTCGCCTTTACTTTCAACGACGACGATCACCATCACAGCAATCGCCTCCGCTACGAAGACTACGGCGAATACTACGTATACGTCGATGACGTCCGCTACGACCACCATAGTTTTGACTATCATTGCCGCCGCCGCAATCCACCCCCACCATCATTGCCG